CTGATGCCACCACAGAGTCATACAAACCATTTGTCATAAACAAGATGGTGCTTAAAGTGATAAAACAGCAAACTATTATTATATAACCCTTCAGTTCATTTCTTGTTATGCATCATTACCGCCATCATGCAAATGGGAAAACCTGCAAATGCAAGTAAAGCCTCACAGGAGAGGCCAGGCCCTCCTGGTGGGAAGAGAAAGGAGCAAGGAAACAGGAGGTGTTGGCATGACTTGATTGTATTTAGTCTGCTTCTGTTCCTCGGAGAAGGTTACAAAAATCTGACAAATAATTGTGACATATTAAGACCATTAAATCTGTCATTTGTAATAGCAACATGTGGTTGATTCCGTCTTATCCTATATCCCCACTCAGGCCCTGCTCAGACGTGAAATCTTGTGTCCAGATGTATCTGTGCTGCCTAGATTTCAACTGAGTTTAACTGCAGTTCACATCTGGCTTTTAAATGTGTTTAAAATGGGTCTCGAGTGAAATATCAATTGATCGAATGATGTGAATTGCGTAATGTAAGTTCTCAAATTGCAGACAGTGTACTAATGTGACGAGAGGCCACAGATTCAGAATGCATGAAGGTATGTCCAAAGCATTAATGCCCATCGCTGTGAGTGTGTCATATGAGGGAATAAGTGAACGTTTAGTGTGGAAATAAAGAGATGGAGCCAAAGGAAGGGCGTGTAAAATAGAAGCTTTAGTACGGATGCGTCTTCACGTTCACCAGCAGAACAAAGCAAAGCAACCTGAGCGGATTAGACAAATTAGAGAAGGGATTAAAACAGTGTCAACTAACAAACTGCTCAGGCTTCTTAACAAACTGGATGAAACAGAGGAGCTAACAGATCCAGTCCCTTCCATCCTGAAAAAAACAAAAACCAAACACAGCTCACTGAGGACATCCAGTGGATGGAAAAGTCTGAATACTGCAGGTCAGAAAGTCAATCTTCTTTTTATTCTGTGAATATGAGTATAAATCATTTCCTTATGATGTCATGTCTACAGTATCTTGGGTTCAACATTGTGCTGTTTAGTCAGAGACACAACCAGAATGAGTCATAATCAGCTGTATCTGCACATCCCAGCTCGTGTTGATTCATTGCACTCGTCCATATTTGAAATGTTGTTTCAAATGCATGTAGCCGTGTATGTCTTCTTTTATTCTATGTTGTAAATGGAGCTGTTGTGATGCATGTCAACATTTCAGACATTTAAATTAAACAACAACAATTAAATTCCATCCATCTATCCGTCTGTCCGTCCATCCTCTGTCCATCCATCCATAGAAGTATAAATGTTATCAAAATATGTTAACATATTGCTTCATCATTACTTTGGTTCAACAGTTGTGTGGTGTGGAGAAAATAAAAAGTTTCCAAGACAAATTCAGAAATTGCCATGCAGCCTCCATCATACAGTTCATTGCTCATTGTATTATTCTGGTGAAAATGGGAGAAAACATTATGCATTATTATGTGCAAGATAATGAAATTATGTTTAAAGGGGGAAAGTCTTTCTAATGCAGTCCAAAACCTGTTGTCAATCACTGAAAGAGAATGTATGAACAGATATTGTGCTGCTGCTTGTGTAGTGGTTAACAGGTGGTGGGGTGGTGGGCACTTACAGGAAGCAATCTTCTAGTGTGAGATATAATCAGCTGTATCTGCACATCCCAGCTCGTGTTGATTCATTGCACTCGTCCATATTTGAAATGTTGTTTCAAATGCATGTAGCCGTGTATGTCTTCTTTTATTCTATGTTGTAAATGGAGCTGTTGTGATGCATGTCAACATTTCAGACATTTAAATGAAACAACGACAATTAAATTCCAACCACCCGTCTGTCCGTCTGTCCATCCATCCATCCATCCATCCATCCGTTTGTCCGTCTGTCCATCCATCCATCCATCCATCCGTTTGTCCGTCTGTCCATCCATCCATCCATCCATCCATCCATCCGTCTGTTGTCTGTGTGGCCTCCTGTGTGGGTGCTCTTCCTCCCACAGTGTAAAGACATGTTGTGATGACTCTATATGTTCCAGTAGGTGTGAGCATGAATGGTTATCTCTGTATGTTAGTCCTGTGTTTGACAACTAGTCCAGGATGTGCTGCACCCCTCGCTCAGTGACAGCTGAGGTTGTGCTCTGCTCCTCTGCGACCTTTAACAGGATGAGAGCTATAGATAATAGATGAATGGAGACGTGGCCACGAGTCATTAGCAAAAACGCAGACAGATACACAAAGGGAGACACAGTACAATAGACACAAACATTTGCATGTATGAACCTCATTTGCACCTCATCACTGAAGACAAACAGCATTCTAGTGTGAATTCTAATTTTAAAAAATGTCTAAAATCAGAACTACTTCACAAAAATGTTGCATTGTTTAAGCAATTAAATAATAAATATTGCATTTTTTGCTGTTATCAAGTCTGAATGCAGGCCTCTACCGCCATCAGGAGGATCACATTTATTCTAATCCTTTTCAAAAGTTCAAACAGAACAAACTGGATTAACTGATCCTATCTTATTCTGCAACCCTTTTTTTCTTTTAAATAACTTGATGTTGAGATTTAGTCTGTCAAATAGCTTTAATCCTGTAAGACGTCGTTTGAACATCGGCGTTAGATTGCAACGTGACTGAGTTCATCTTGGCTTTATATTTATTCAATGAATGACATGTTTTGTGTGAAATAAAAATACTCGTTCACTAGTTGTTCACCCAGTGGCTTATTTAGTTTTGTTTAAAGTACGTCACTAAAAGAGGAATGGTTGGCTTTATTCAAAAAGTTCCATCATATTTCCACATCCAAACACACGGCTACTCATATTTACAATTTGTCGATTATACTTTTGTCTTCTTATTTCAGGTTTCTGGATGATTGTGAGCATTGCTGGTGCATATTAATGGACAATACGGTAAAGCATCAATGGCATTAATGTATGGACTTAAAACATTTATTTTCTATCTTTCCGTGCCGCTGTCCCCAGTTTCACTCTGACTGTTTTTGCTGATAAATCCCCTCCAGCTTTACCCTCTCTTGTTACTTGTTGTTGCATTCATCACATTTGACATTCTCTGAAACTATTACAGGAAATGACCAAAAATGTTTCTGTGTCATGCTCCACAAAGAAAGAACCCATTCTCTGCAGAAAACCCAATCAAAGTAATAGAGCCTGATGACGGGTGTGCTAGTTTTCATGTTTTTGTTTTTTTTTACTAAAGTTGTTTGTACCAGGTAACCAGGTAAGAACACGCTGTCTGAAAGGGATCAAAGCTGTGTTTTAAAGAAAGGACTGAGGTATCTTTAGTCTGCGTATTAGTTGATTTTATTACTCTTGGATTCTTCAGCGTTTGAAATAGTCTTTTTATTCAATTTCAAACAAAATTGAAAGGTCTGCTCCTCTTGTGTCTTCTAAAAATGACACAAAATATACAGCCATGGTACTGTAGCACCTCTGAGGCTCACAGCTTTGTACCCAGACACAAGCGATGCTCCATCCTGATTCACAGACTCCTGTGCGCCTGATGCACATTCTGTTACGATATTTGACATTTCAAAGGCTAACAGATTATTATTTTGTTGCTGCCTCATCATTATGTTTGTCACAACTAAACAATGTAGTATTGGTTTGTGTTGGTAGCTGTTCACTGGGTGTGTCAGGTTGTATCCTGTAATTCAAGGTGTAATGGGGACAAATTGCAGAAAAACAGCACGAGGGGACTAGCTTACCTCTGTGTAGTGGTGAAGCGGTCTCTGATGCGATGACAGGCACACTTTTGTGGGACAGATTCTCCACTACTACACAAAGGTAACCTCGTCCGCTGTGGCTTTCTTTCTAGTATTGGTTTGTAACTGGATAACACTTACAGAGGGTATTGTGGCTTCATTTGTGTTCAACGGCTGTAGCTGGAGATGCATCCTCCATCTTTTTTCACACAGTTATATGCAGGAAATGGTTATGAGGTTATGAGCTAAGAAAGCTTTTTATTTTATTTTTTAAATCAGTTAACACTTCAAAGTGCAGGTTGGGTAATCATCTTTTTTATGTAAAATACCATAGATATTACCAAAAGTAAACAACTTAATTTATTGCTCTGCAAAATACTAGACAATGGATGAAGAAAATATGCAATATCTGAAGCTCTTATTTTGATTATACATGTATTTGAAAAATAGGCTATGCAGTTTAAATGCTCGAAATAAAAAACAAACAAGTATCTTGCAGACCCTGCCCACCGGCCTATATCTGTTTGAACTCTGCCTGTAACTCAGTGCTCATTATTCCTTCTACAAGCTGAAGCTGCCAAGGTAGACAACAAAGGCAGAGGAAGGTAGTTAGATTGATCAGTAACATCAGCAATCACAGCATTCCTCTCCCCAACACTTTAACATGTATGTACCAGCAGACAGGAAGAAGAGTTGATTGTGACTTTGATATTTTCTTCAGTTTCTAGCTCTCTCTTGCTGCTTTCTCAGAAGTTGCCCTCCTCGTCTTTAACGCTGTCCGTCTCATCTTAACGAAGCAGCTCTCTTCTGAAGTCTCTCCCCGTCAAACACACAGTGTTAGAACATCAGACTGTCTCATATGTCACATTGTGCTCCAACACTTCTGCTTCCTCTGTTGTCTTATCAAGATCATCAGAAGAATATATAAACCCTCGTTCATGGTTGGTTGCACACAGAGTGTCATATCATGTTTTCATGTTTATGAGTCAGATATCAGATATTGTTTGTACGGAAATTAATGACTTGATGTTTAGGTGCAGATGTAGTTGTTGTTGTTTACAAATCACAGTATCATACATTTTGGTTTAAGAAAATCATTGACATCCTATTTCATGGTTTGAAAGCTAAAATACACTGATTAATGTAATGATGATAATACAAAAGAGATTAAAGAAAAATCCAGTTTCCTGTTCTACAATCACTTGAAACTGTTTACATTCATTTGTACTGTGCATCAACTCTTTTTAAGAAAATACAGTTTTATAAACACAATGTTTATTGAGACAATGTGACAGAAGAACACAACCATACAAAATAAGCACAGTGTTTAATATCTTGTAGAATAAGGTATGTGTGTGGTTGTCAAACATTTCGCTTGGTTAGGATTAGCAATATGGGAGAATGAGCTTCTTCAAATGTTTTTAAAAGCAAATCAACATCACATTCAGAGGCATACAAACAAACAAAGTGTGTTACTTATTATGTCCAAAATTGTGAGGCAGCAGAAGCGAGGCTTCGTCGACAGACAATAGATGACCAAACAGTGGCTCAACTCGTTAACAGCAAATTGCAATTTATGGCTTTAAAAAAACAGAAGCAAATGCAGAGCAAAATAAAAATGCAGTTCTCAAGTGAAACAAAACAAAGGAATCCCCATCAGGTCCTATATTAAAATGTCAGTTTTTACAGCAGAAATAAACATGTTTACAGCCTTGAACAAAAAAAAATTCAATCTCAAAGGCTAATTTCTTTCTTGTGTTATTATACACACTGGAAGAGGGGTGCATTTTTTTTATTCATAAGTTTTTATTTTAAGGGGCCCAAACATTATGCATATATTTGCATAATTTGGGGTCAAGTCAAGTCAACTTTATTTATATAGCACATTTATAACAGCCGAGGCGGACCAAAGTGCTGTACAGTAAAATAGGCAAAATACATTACATCCAAAATATCATAAAGACACGTAAAAGCAAAAATTAAAACACAAAACAATAGTAAAAGTTCTAGAAGACACTGCTGCTGGGATAAAACACTCAACTAGAGATAAAAGCCAAGGAAAATAAATGGGTTTTTAAAAATGACTTAAACAGTTCAGTTGTGGCAGCAGATCTTATTTTAAATGGTAATCTGATGCTGGGTGTTGCTGATTTGACTGACAGGTGGGCCTGTTGTAGCTGTTTCCCACCTCAGCTCCATCTCTTTGTTATTAGATTGATCTAATTGGGTGGAGATTTCCTATTTGGTGACTGCCATCATTGGACTTAAAAATGCCTCTGGAAAACGATAGGTGACATCAGTGAGACTTTTTATACAGTCTATGGTTTTGACTGGGTATAACTTTGTCTTCTGATATTATCTCATAAATCTTTGAAAACTGTGTTTCTTTAAACCATCAGTGTAACTTTACTTCTATTTGTCATACACTCATAATCAGTCAGATGGGGATGAACTGTAAAATGACAGTTCAAGTTATTTTACCCCATATGCACAGAAACAACAAAGCAGCAGCGTATAGAAGCTAAGCTGCTCATTCACTGGTTTGAAGGAGGTTTGCACCGCAGCGTATTTAAGCACTAAATGACGAAATGTTGTTGAAACCTTCTGACGAGACCCGGCCTGAGATGCAGACATCAGACGTGGCACGCGACGTGCGAGCGGAGTAGATGTACTTCTTGCTGAAGCACCACAGGTCCGACAGAATCTGCCTGAAGTGGCTCTGGAACTTCACCCCGACGAAGGCGTAGAGAACGGGGTTGAGGCAGCAGTGGAGGTAAGCTACACTTCTGGAAACAGCCAACACTTTGAGTTTAACATTCTCCACCTCGCAGCTCCTCTGTTTGAACAGAGCCACAGTGTGGGTCAGCAGAGTTATGTTGTAAGGAAGGTGGCACACAATGAAGACCACGACCACTGCCAGCACCACCAGCACGGCCTTGTGCCTCTGGCTGCTCCGTGCCCTCAGCAGGGTGCACATGATGCTGGAGTAACAGAACACCATCACCAGCAGCGGCACCAGGAAACCGATGGCCATTTGAAGGCTGGGAACAAGCACTTTCACCAGCTTTGCTGTTTCTGTTTTGTTGAAATGCATCTCACACACCATAGTTGACTTGCCCATCCCCCCGTCGGGATCTGAATAGCATTCTGTGTAGATGAATGTGGGCACAGTTAAAGCAAAAGCAAACAGCCAAACAGACAAGCAGACGAGGCGGCTGTACATCAGAGCGGTTGAGCGCGCTCCAAACGACCTCCTAGCATGAACGATGGCTATGTAACGATCTCCACCGATGCCGGCCAGCAGGAGCATGCCGCTGTACAGGTTAATACTGTAGGCTGACCTCAGTATCTTACAGGCCACATGTCCCATCAGCCAACTGTGCTGCTCGTTGTAGATGATAAAAGGCAGAGCCACTACAAATCATCAGCCTGGCACTGTGGAGTCATAGTCTGTCGTAGTCACCTGCTCCATGGTTTTCAGCTAAAGGGAGAAGACATCAATTAACATCAAAAGAGTTCATAACAGAATCGTCACTGCCTCTTTATGCAGCACCAGAGTCACAACAATACATTCATGTTAAGGCTGCCTCAGATGTTGTGTGTTAAATTCACACTGGACTTCAGTATTTACTTTTCACACTGCACGATTTGTGTAACTTCATCATTTAAGATACTTGCAACCCAAAACCCTGACTGCAGTCAACTTCCGCTAAAACATAATCATTACACAAACTCTCACCTCTCACACCACAACATTGTTTAACGTCAACATGTTCAACACATACCACACACACTGCTCAACTCTTCAACTCTCTTCTACCTCTCAAGTCCCCCTCACAAAGCACCTTCTCTCCCTCCCCTTCTCTCTTTCTCTGTATTGCTTCTCTCACTTCCTGTATCCCTTCTTAGGTATTTCATATAGTTTTGTAGTTTTTCTGTTCGTAGTCTGATGTGTGTCTATTGATGTCTTAGTTTTTTGCTGTTTATTTGTTTTATGTTATTTTTTTTACTGTATTTTGGAGTCATTGTCCTGACCTTGTCTGTTTGTTTTTTTGTGCCTCATTTGTTATGTATATATCACCAGTTTGTCACTTTAGGCAAAGATAGCAAAGATACCCACAGGCTCAGACAGACTGCATCTGTGAGATAATTTGGAGACAAGATGCAGATAGGGGAGCCGGCTGGTGAAGCCGCAGAATTGACACCAGGCACCTTTTGCTGATCGCAGTCACTTTTTTTCTTTTTTTTTTTTAAAGATTTATTTTTGGGCTTTTTGTACCTTTAATTGAGAGATAGGACAGTGGATAGAGTCGGAAATCAGGGAGCGAGAGAGAGAGAGAGAGGGGAAATACATGCGGGAAAGGAGCCACAGGCTGGATTCGAACCTGGGCCTCAGACTCTAGTGTTGATTAGGAGCAGACATCACAGTTCAAAAAGTTAAATGACTGTGTTGTTACTTTATGTTACACCTTTTCTCACCTTTAGAGAGGGAGGAGCTGTAAGGACAGATTTGTTCACAGAGCTGACGATCATGAAGTTATATCTGCTTTTTTTTTAACATCAAATTACTTATTAGAACAAAACTGCTCAGAAAAGATGAAAACTCGGACAAGAATCAGCATGAAAACTCTTGTGACAGAATCCAATTTGATAAACATTTATTTGACGTTTAGTAATGTTATAGTTTGACCCACGTCCCACCTGAAGGAGGCGGGGTCTATGACTATACTGCAACCAGTCAGCAGAGGGGGCTCTAAATATGTTGGCTTCATTCCTAGGAAACTGTTGCTCCGTCCAGTTTATTGCACAAATACAGCACCTCCAATGCACCTTTTGGAAAAAAATTTGTTATAATATTGTATCTTATATTGCTTTAATACATGTATTCTTTTATATTTAAGTTCCGAGACAGTAAGAGTACTGCTGCCTTCATTATTCTACTGTTTTGACGTAATGTTGACAAAGTGATGAAAAATATGATCGCGAGTCCGTAGGATATATGGAGTTTTATTTTGTAGCCTAATTGTCCGGATGCTCCTTGCCTATCCTTGTTTGACTTCCTGTCCAGCTTGACGCGTGCTTGCAGCGTACTCCGTTGAAAAAGCAGAGACGGACCGCGGCGCACGCTGTGGAAACACATCTACACGGCGTGGTGCGCGGCGCTGACGGTCCGCGGCGCACGCTGTGGAAACACATCTACACGGCGTGGTGCGCGGCGCTGACGGACCGCGGCGCACGCTGTGGAAACACATCTACACGGCGTGGTGCGCGGCGCTGACGGACCGCGGCGCACGCTGTGGAAACACATCTACACGGCGTGGTGCGCGGCGCTGACGGACCGCGGCGCGCACGGAGTATGTGTGGGGTTAACTTTCTGTTTATACTGCGGATACTGGGAGGGCGGCTGAGGAACCTGGCAGAGTGTGGCAACTTTTGGCGTAGTGGCGGAGCACCATAGAGTACAGGTGGAGCACCATAGAGTACTGGTGGAGCACCATAGAGTACAGGTGGAGCACCATAGAGTACTGGTGGAGTACCATAGAGTACTGGTGGAGTACCATAGAGTACTGGTGGATGTGTGTCTCTCCGCAGGACAGGCCACGAGAGGCGAGAGTTTCAAAATGACATATTCTTAAAGTCATATTCACACTAACATAACAGAATTTATACCACAGCAACCCAGAGTCCACTAAGTGCAAATCAGGGGGACAGGGTCGTGGACAGATCCTTTTAGTGTCTCGCTTTATTGGAGACAGAGAGGAACAGGAGTGGTTCATAGAGGGACTAAGGCAAGCCACAACCCTTAAAAAACAAATTAATAGTTTTGCTTTTGTTACATTTCGGCCACGTAAACGTACTTCGCAATAAACCTGATTCTGATTCTTACAAAGCGGTATGTAACAAATAAAGACACGTTGCAGACTTTTTAAAGGGCAGCGAAATTTAATGATGCCTATCTATATTTACTGTTTGTTTTTATGTATATTTGTCGCTGCTTATCTTATGTCTGCTGCAATTGAGTTTTGATGTCTGCATTAAACGTTTTCCTCTTCCTGCTGCTGTTTTTTTATGGACAGTGTTTCAGTATTATGGGAACATATTTTTTATATTTTATGTTGCGTTAAAACCATACACTGAAATGAGCAAATAAATCAAATATGAATGTTTTACTGCGTTATTGTTGTGTTCATTCCTAAAAGCCTGACGGGACAAGGACTACAAATTAGCCATGGCTAGAAGTCCTATCTGTTGCACTTCAATAGATGTAACAATGCCTACATGTAGCTGACATCCATCATGGACAACCCCTCTCACCCCCTGCATGACACTGTGGGGGTCCTGAGCAGCTCCTTCAGCAGCAGACTCAGACACCCACCCTGCAAGACAGAGCGCTACCGCAGGTCGTTCATCCCATCTGAAGTCAGACTGTTTAATCAGACTCTTTAACGGCATCACCGCCTCATGCTACACACTGTGTGTGTGTTTTTTTAAGAACAAAACCCATTCCTGTGTAGTTACTGTGTAATTTTACAATATTGTATTTTTTTTATTTAACTGAATGTAAATATGTTTGATTTTATTTTAACTTCTATTTTTATTTTTAATAATTATATTCCCGTCCCCTGTTTTCTGGAGCTGCTGTAATGCACAAATTTCCTCCACGGGGATAAATGAAGTTTATTTTTATCTTTATGTATTGTCCCTGATAAATGAATAAATACCTTTATACCTAACACAATTTGAGAGGAATATGTAAAAAATGTTTTTATATATATTTGTATTTTCATTATGGGGTTCATGTTATAGAGTATAATAAAGTGGAATCATGACATACCACAAGGCAGCACATCACTTTAAAATAGAGCACATGTTTTAAATGTATCTCCCAAAGCATGAACGTCACATTTTGTGAAGTCTGATGACAAAACATTTCAACTATTCCTTTACATTTCTGGGTAGTTTTCTTTGTGTCACTGCTTCTTTTGAATGTTGAAAAAATAAATGTGATAGTTTGGTGTTTGGTTCAAACCCTGCATCTCATCACATCACATCGGGATAAAAAAGCTTTTGTTCAAGTTCAGCTCTTCCTCTCCTAGGTGACTGACCCAAATTCAGTCCTGTTAGAAAATAAGTGATTGCAGACAAAGTTAGGCTGCAGGAGGTGTTTGCACACTGCTCTTCTTCTTCTCTTTGAAGCAGAGGAGATCCTTATCAGATCGTTAGACGTTTCACTGAAACTCAGTTTGTGTGTATGAAGGTCACAACCACCATCCTTCACTGACTGTAAATTGAAAGATAATACAAAGGTGATGATTTCACTTTTTATGCGAATCACTGTTTACAAGAATCACGTTACACGCAAACTTCTTCAAAAACCTGAATAGATATGAAAACAAGATGCTATATTTTGTTTCAGCACTTTCACTTCTCGCATGTCGCTATGAGATTAAATGTTTATTTAAAGGGCGCAGAAATCATCAATGAGGAAGTTATTAAGTTTTGTTCCTTTTGTATAGACATGTGTCAGCACTTTGAATGCTCGCAGTGTTCATATATTTTAAAGAACTTACATTTCTCTAAAGCGGTTCCCTCTGTGTTATTCAAATATGTTTGCAGTTTAAATCTTTAAAAGTTGTGCTCATACTCAGGTCGATTCCAAACAGTGCAGTTTAAGCGTAACATGTTTTATCATAAGACATAAGCATAATGTAATTAACAGAAAAACACATAAAAAAGATAAATAATAAACACATAAAGATGGATCAAAATGTATAATGTGGTCACCATACTAAAATATTTACACCAGTTGTAAGGACTTACCTTGCAGAGAAGGTTCTCCCTCAGGTGATTCTTTTATCCTCAGGGTTTGATTCTCGCCGTTCAAATGAAGGGATAAATCTTTCCTCCCAGGTTGTATCAAACCTTCTGACGAAAGAGTTCAGCTTGGAAACCTTAAGGTACAATCACTGATACAATCGTGAAAGAAACCAAAGCCTAAAAACAAACTCTCACGAGCCCTGAGAAATGTGTGACTGCACAGGTTATCTTCCTGCTTCTGACCTCAAACTCGTCTCTGTTCTGCTCACCCCTGTGCACAGTCAGAGACCCAGAGATTACATGATGCCCCAATCAACAGAAGAACTCTTTGTGTACCGGCACATTTTGACTTTGATGTGCAATATTTTTGATTGAAAGACAGATTAAAAGATGCAGAACACAGATGTGTATGAAGGCAGAAGATTCCCTTAAGATGTTTCTGTAGTAAATGTTAAATCGGCATGTTTTCTGAAGTTTCATAGTCGAAGACAAATCAGTATTTTGCAAATTTTTTACTTTTTCATCAATATTAATTCAATTCCAGGTAAACTTTTTCTTGAGTGATTTTTACAAAGTACCGAGTGTAATTGTTGGTGTTCAACACGCTCACACACACACACACACACACACACACACACACACACACACACACACACACACACACACACACACACACACACGTGTCCACACAAACCTCCTATACTAATTACTTCAAACTTCAGTTGGGTTGTACTGACAGACATGTTCTTGTGGAATCTCCCCAAAAATGTTTTTTTAAATATTTGATTTATTATTAATTGCTGATCAAACCTCATGAGTCCTTTACTTTTTCTCCCTATTTCAATCAAGAAAAGAAAACATTTAAAATATATATTTATGGCAATGTTTTGCTTTATTTTGCCTAGTTAGGGATATGAAAATAAAAATCTTTTTACCAGGCTGCAATGTTCAATAAAACTAGAGTTTTATTTTAAGTTGACCAACAGATGGAGCTGTTGTTTTAGGGAAATTTATAGACGATGAGATTGAAACATTATAAACAAAAAAATCAGAGAAGACACTCAGAAGCTCTGAGTGGTTGATCCAGAAACTTGAGAAAAAGTGCTCTCTTAGTGATAATGGGCATAGACAGACAGTGAAATGGTTTAGGCCCAATCTTAGAAATTAGTCAGACATTTAATAATTATGAACACTATGAAATGAACATCTGTGTGATCAATTGTAAACTGTACTTTAAAACCATTCTAACCTTCAAAATGTTTAATAAACCCATTCCCTCTACATGTGGTTACCTCCACAGGTGCATCCAATCACTAATTAAGACTCTGTACATGCTGATGTAACGATCAGCATGATGATTTCAAACGTTAAACAATGTCTGACTTTGGATTCTTTGATTGTTCCTAAACGATTTCACTGTCTGTCTATGCCATTATCACTAAAGAGAGCAGCTTTTTGGACGAATTAATCACAGCTTCTGACAAAAAAACGTGTCATACCTAGCAATGAGGGCGACCGCGCCTTTAATGTAGAGGAAACACTGTATATTCAAACCTACACATCAAGCAGCATCCAGACACTAAAGCATTATCATTACACAGTGTTAAGAGGAAATTAAAGGGCATGTTTGCATCAAGGTGTCACTACATTGGAAAGGTTGAGATTTTAAAGGCTGAGAGCTGCATCGAGCAAGAAAGAGAAAGTATGTGTGAGAGAACAACAAAACTCATGTGGTTATGATTTAAGCTTAAAGTAGGTCATTTGTATACGTTAATATATAGAATATAGGCTACATAATAATATCATGTGAAAATATATAGATAAATATGTATTGGCTGGTTTCTTGGTGGGCTAAATTCTAGATTATCATTGAGCTTATCATGGGCATGGGTAATTCATGAAGGCCGACCCACTGAGGAGAATATTAGCACGGCCCCACATCACATGGGTACACGTGTCTTTGATTCAAGGAAATCCCAATTGTATAACCAAGACCATTATTTATGAAGTATGATAAAAGTAAATGATTGACACTGAGATTTTTTATTATTTTCAAGCTTAATTATGTCATGTGCAGATACTGATGTTTTCTTTCAATATTAGTTATATTTTAGAATAGAAAAGAATATAACAGAACATAGTTGATTGTCTATTGTTGCATGCAAACTGCAGAAATGTGTCCTCGACTCTCTTGTGCAAATAAATGCCATTAAACACACTTTAAATATAACATGCCCAATGGATTTGAGTTTATATAGTTCTTTTCTAGTCTTCTGACTACTCAAAGCACTTTTACACCGCAGGTCACACCTACACATTCACACCCTGATGCAAGAGGTTCCTACTTACAGTGGCCATTAGAAATAACTAATCATATTCAAACACCACTGATGAAGCAGCAGGAGCAATCAGGGTTAAGTGTCTTGCCAAAGGACACATGTTGCTGCAGGAGCTGGGGATTGAACCCCCAACCCTCTGGTTGTGAAATGACAACTCTACCAACTGAGCCACAGCCACATGTACATGTACTTCATGTACAGAGACTATAGTCCGGAGCAGACGTGGGTTTGAATCTGACCTCGGCCCTTTGCTGCATGTCGTCCCCTGCTATCTCCTCCCAACATTTCCTGTCTCTCTTCAACTGTCCTATCTGATAAAGGTAAAAAGGCAAAAAAAATATATATTTAAGATAAAACATGTCCGCAGTAAAAACAGACACAATAAAGCTACATTTAAGGAAAGCAGCAGGTCATTAATTGCCAAGACTGAAGAGGTGTTCAACAAAATAAAGTTCTTGTGCAGTGTTAAGTAATACAATATACCCCACTTTTTATTACATTAGTATCTCCCATGGTTAGGGTAAGAGTAATACAATCAACTTATAGAGACCTATTTATTCCTATAAAGATAATTCATGTTTGATTTGCTCTTAATAAGGAGAACAAAAAGACAAAATAGAATATGTAATTGTTTAATCAACCAGTTCTACACTTTACAGCGTTTTAAAAAAAGAGAAATACTAAGGGCCAGATTTACTAAGCTCCCAATTAAAGAGTACTAAATTGCGTGTTCACTCCAAAAGTTTGCACGTTTGGTTGGTGGGCGTTTTGCGGGTGATCTACTAAGAAAATTTGCGTGAATGACAACAGGTGCAAACTTTGTGGAGGCGGAGCTATTTAAGTTAGGCTTTTGCGTGTTCTACTGGTTTACGTCACGGAGAGTTTGGACAGAAAGCAGGATGACTGCAAGCGCAAAATAGGTATTAGTGAGAGAGGCAAACTGGAAAGAGGTATCGAAGACGGGGGTACAAACAGTGGTGAGGTCCCCCAAACAAAGCGTCCTACAGAGTAGCAGCAGCGGGCTGTAGAGGGAGGAGACGAACGCATTATGGAGAGGAGCGCACCAGAGGGGGCAGGCTGGGGGAGAGACGAGAGACCCGAGAAAAAGGAAATCCCCAGTTTAAAATATAATGTTGGCGAAAAGAGGGAAATAGGAAGAAATCAATGTCAATGCGTGTTGTTTTGCTCATTTGAAAGACGCAATCCTCACTGCACGCCGTTAGTAGATCAGATAGCACTTTTTTTGCTGGTGGTATCAAGACACGCAAACCTTTAGTAAATCTGGCCCTTAGAAGGATACAGCAGGGAGTGCAATTTCTTCTTCTGCAAATCTAAGTAAGACACTCTTGCTGTTGTGCACGCTTCGTTTACCTGGAGGCGCGCGCGACCAATGTGGGCATGTCCAAACGCACGCGGCAACCCGCTCTGCAGGTTTGCTCGTGAGTCACTCCTCATGTAAGTCAGAAAGTAGGACAACTCAGCTCGCGCCTTCATCCCTCTGCACGCACATTATTTGGCAGGACTTTCCTCTCAGATACCATGAGTAAGTCCAGCACTCTGAAAGTGAAGAACTTATTTAAAACAAAAGAAAACAAAGAAAGCAAAGAGCTCAAGCGGTCAACCTCGCTGAAGAAGGATGGAGAAGCGACGAGCGACGTGCGCAAGTCGGAGACTTCACCTGCGAGCCCCGTTCCCCTCAGCCCGGGAGACAACTTCACTCTGCCCGGTGATGTTTTACCCGGTTCCCCGAAAGAAAAGAAGCGAAGGCGGCTGCTGTCGTTCAAGCTGAAACGGAAAAAATCCAAACGGAAAGAAGGAGGAGGGGAAGAGGTGTTTTTCCCCGAGACGGATGAACTGGACAGTTTCCACAGCCTCAGGTATGATAACACAAGTTTATTACTTTATTCAGTCGTTTTTATTGTGTTTTTCTTTATTAAAGAAACTCAGTTTGAGATAAATTGACATTAAAAGACTGTTTGATAAATCTTGACTTCATGAACTTCCAAATATTAATATTGTTAAATAAACAAAACTAATCTTAAAGCACAATACCACTTCAATGTATTCTTCATAAAGACAATAACATTTAATGTTTTCTAAATACTTATAGAGGACACAACTGCAAACATCCTAATAATAATAATAATAATAATTGGGCATGAGGTTTGTGGGCACACAATTAATTCAAATTTTTTACACTTTCTATACCCACAGATGATATGTATACTTGCAAGTAACACAAGTTATGAACATGTACATCTTCTTTGCTTGATTCTTTAGGGACTCAGAAAACAAAGATCTACAGTATGTGCAAAGTCACACTTTTAGGTACTTAGAAAATTGCATGCAAACTGTTGTACGTTGTCTAACTTGCAAAAACACATTATTGGCAATTAAGTTGATTGCAAGTTAGACAGTGTGCACGAGTACTTTCTTGGAATTTTTTATGGAAAGAGAAAAGTATTGATTTACAAGTGAAAGTACCAATAGCTTGTTGAAAACCGCCAGAATAGTTGATTTGAACGTAAGTCCCGCCTCTGATTCGGCAAATAGCCAATCATAGATTTTAATTTTGGGGTGGCACCTGGGGTGGCCAATCAGATATCAAGAGGGGCCCATGCCACCCCTGTCCACCTCTCTGTCACTGAATGTATATCCAAACGAGGACTGTAAGAAGAAAGGTATTATATTAACCTGACGACGTACTAACAAAATCTATCTAAACGATTGTGTTGATTAGTTTGCCATCTTAACAACATGCAGCAATTAAATCAAAAATCAACTTAATTGGACATCTGGAAAGTCCCATAGTGGCTCCTTGTATTTCCTTCCTGGAAACCAGTGCTTAATACAGTATAGTAAGAAACGTGTGTGAGTAGAAAACATCTTACAGGAGGACTGTTTAGCCCCCTGGCACTTTTAACCACTGTGGCATGACATGATGACTAGTACAGTCATGCTTAACTTTTGGTGGTAACAGTTTGAAAAATGCAGCGAATCAACCGTCAGGCAGAACAAGAGATTCTGGTGTGTGGCTTCTTCTTGTGCACTTGATTTGCCACATTAAGACGACACTGTGTGAGTAGTTGTTGCATGGAAATGTGAGTACGGGAGTTGCAATACACTTTTTTCCTCTTCTGGACACAGATAGCAAAACCTGAATATATTAACTGGCTCGTTATAAGAACCAATACCTGTCCAAATACCAATGAAAACAGCTGTTGAAAACAAACCCTGATGATGTCTCATGGTTTCTGTTGTTGCTGTGTGGTGTTTGAATCCTTTGGACAACATCAACAAATACACATAGAGAATGAAAGCCATGTCACTTTTTCTATCGTCTACATTTTAAATCAGCAAGAAGATGAAAGTAAATCTAAAAAAGGTAAACACTTAGTGTAGATAAAACCTTTTTTTTTTTTTACACCATTCTTTTCTCCTTTGTGTGATCCCCAGAGACTCAGGGATTAAAAATGTGACACTGATTCATTCAGTGTTTTTAGCAGTTTTAATGAGGGTCTGTTTGTTTTGGAAAAGGGGGCTTAATCCTCTTCAAACCCTCGTTAAGGCTATAACCTTAGCAGCAGCTCAGCTCACAGCCTGCTGGACATGATGTGCTGACTGAGAACTGAAGAGAAAAGATCATGAAGGTGTAATGGCTATTTTTAAACCAGGCTAAAGTCACATTTCCAACTACAGTAACACTGTGCACTGTTTATTTCAGTCTATTGTTACAAGATGAATTACCTGAAGTTATTTCTTCTTTGCCACTTTACAATGGATAATGCAGGTGGTAAATTGTCAATGAAGCACACCGCAACTTGGTTTACGTAGAGGATTGGTGCACAGACTGACTGACAGACTGATACATGATTGCCCACTTTTGGCTGTTTTGGACTCTTGGGGTTGGATCCATGCATTCACAGGGTGATGCAGGAAACGATACAAAGTGCAATAAATGGACCACCATAACGATAATATCACAAAAAAACAGTGATTCCACGGTAATACATTTATTGTAAGACAAACATATAATGATACATTACGATATCAGATTAACTAAGGAATTTTAAATGTCCCTTAAAGGTATAAAGTGCAGAGTTGATTTATTTATTCACTGTGTCTTGGTGTCACTTTCACCTCTTATCACGCTTGAACCTATTTATCACCTCTGTCTGATATTATCCCGCTATCTTCTTCTTCCTCTAATATCCTGTTGTCAATTCTTTCCTGTTCTTACTACCCTCAGTCATGTCAGAAGCTCCACTGTGAGGAGTCATGAAGTAGTGACACGGTGACACAAACACTTGAAGTAATCTTGGTGTTCATGTGTTACTTTTAATGACAGATGTCCTTTTTTATCGAAAAGGTATCCTTGAAGGACTTCTTTCCCTGATTTCCGACTCTATCCACTATCCTATCCCTACAATAAAGGAACAAAAAGCCCAAAAATAAATCTTTAAAAAAAAAAAAAATAATAATTTTGTTTTTTTACATGACCTTTAGGGGGGGCTGTTGGGTGGGCAGGCCGCCCCCTAATGTCATGGTAGTGGAAACACTGCATTTTGAGTGTTGCATTTCTTATTTATTGAAATATGAATATTTGGACCACCAGTGATTATATAATTGTATCACACACCAGTCAGGACATCAATAGATTGCTGTATTGATATATTGGCCTGCCCAGATTTTGATGGATATCAAAACTGTGCGGATGAATATTGGAATGACTATATTTGAAACATAGACTAGGGCTGTGTTAAAAAAAACGATACGGCAACATATCATGCATATCAGGCATGTGCTCCTTGCAAACATATGTATTGTTGCAGATGTTACAGAATCAGTACGGCTGCAAAGCTGTGATGAAAGTTTTGAAAAGACAACTGACCTTTGGTGCAGTTCATAATAACGCCATAGCCACAGCTCTGGGATTCAGTGGTTTAAGTTTTAGGATCATCATGCCTCTGCTGTTATTCTCAACAATGAAGAACAGCTGTTGTAGTGAATTCTGTGTAGGACATGGTCATTATCCAAAATCAATGTATATCACAATATGTATCATACAATGGCCTCTGTATTGTGATATGTATCGTATCGGGAGTTGTGGGAAATACCCAGCCCTGGACTGAAGCCATGCTGTTTCCTTTTTTTTGGAGGGCCAGGCACTTAAACTCAACTCTTTTGATCCGTGATCAAAAGTGTTTCAGCTTCTTTACAGCAGTGTGGTGAACTGTTTGACTGTAGAGCAGAAATATCCATGCTGAGTCACTCCTCCCTGGATAAATTAAAGATTCACAAAGAACCTCAACTGCTCCCAATCGTGGCAGAGACATTCCCAGTTGTTTGTTTTTTTTAATTTTCCTTCCAGCACATATTTAAATCCATCATGTTCTGTGTTTGAATCCATTTGTTGACTAGTTGTGGTCCATTGCCTCTGACTCAGTAATGTCACATGATTTCAGGTTAGCAAACGATGAGAGATGCTGTTGAGATTTGAAGGGAAGCCTAAAACCTGCCGTGCAAGTATGACACATATTCATGTTGAATCCAGTTATATGAGCCTCAGTCATGTTGTTGTTGTTGTGTCTGGGCTGGTCTGGATCAGAGTAAATATTAATCTAACAGCGTGAACAAGCCTTGCACATACATTGTGCAACAGATCAGAGATTAGTAGCACTTCAACTGATCTGTTTGACTTATCAAAAGTAGGGCTGCATTAAACCCTCAGTCACAGAAGGTTGATGGAATTAACTGGACTTTGGTTTCAGAACATCTGAAGGCGAGCACAGTTCCTTTACCGGGGGAGTTTTCAAGTGTAACACAATGTCTCTTTGAAGGAATACAGCTTTGATATTTGATCACAGGCTGTGTTGAATTAGGCTGCTGGGAGAAAAAAAGTTTTAAAAAAAGTTTAATGATTTATATCATTTACATACAGTTATATGAGTAACACTTATCACAGGTGCACTATTCGACCAGCTGGTGACCAAGATCGGCCGATTTTCAGCCTATTTGTCCGTGATCGAGGACAGGCCAGTTGTGCCAATCTCAAAGTTTCATGCAATGTGCACAGCAACAAAAAAACACTCAAATGACAGCCACACCTACCCAAAAACTAACATGTGAGCAGGGTGGATATGAGTCCTTTCACATCCACCCTGTTGGGGGAGAGTGGAACTGGCAGATTAGACCTTGAAAATATCAGAATTTGCCTTGAAAACTGCATTTGGTGCATCTTGAATTAGAAGTATGAATTGTGATGAACCCGCTGATACACACTTGGCTCAGCTCAGATTGAAGTTGAGGCTGGCCCCCTGAAAAGACGATTCAAATGATCGTTTGAGAACCTCCCAGGTCAAGGCCCATTTCATCCATCAAATCTCTGCATCTTGTTTTTTTTTTAAGCTGCGTCATTGCACATCAAAAGCAGCACAGCCTGTGAAGTTAACACATTCAGTCTCTTTAGTCTCTGCAAGACTGACAACAGCAGCCACGATAAAAATGCACTCTGTTTCTACCCTCAGGAGGGCCTGGGAGCTGAGCTGGTCTTTGTTGTCTGTTCTTGGTTCTACATTAGGGAGGATGATTGTGACATGAACCTTATTAAAAAACTAATAATAAATAGAACTGCAACTACTAGTCAACAGAAAGAAAATCTTTTAATGATTCCAACGTCTTACATGCTAAGATAGGTAGATAGATATATCAGATGTTGTTGTTAGAGAGAAGTCTGAAATGGGACTGTCATCACAGCAGCTCTTTTAAAAATAAAAACATGAAAAACAAGGTCGAAAGATGCAAACATACTTTCAGCATTAGTCCTGAACATCTATCTCCGTTCTCTGTCAGTTTCAGGACTTGCTGAGTCCAGTAG